AATATAATTAATCATTAGTTGATAAAATAAATTAGAAAATATCTCGAAATTAAATAAAATATTCTAGAATATGAAATTTTTATTTGCAATTATAACACAGTTCACTCATTCTTCTCATTTATCATATAGAATTTATATGAAAACTTGATATCTTCAGAAATTAAAGATTGTATATATATCCTCAGAGTCCAACTCTTTTGATCATATTTTTTCTTTTTCTTTTTAATAGAAAATTCTTCTCATTCATCATATAGAACTATGTGAAAACTTGATATCCTGAGAAATTAAAAAAATTTAAATATCCTCAGAGTCCAGCTCCTTTAATCATTTTTTTCCTTTCTTTTTAATAGAAAATTCTTCTCAATCATCATATAGAAAATTTAGTAATATTTTTTTCTTTAAGTTCTGAAATCTTGTACTTTTGCGTGTAATTACGTTGGATATCTATTTTATATTCTTGGAATTCTTGTCATAGTCATTGAATCAATACTTTTCAATTTTAATATATGATAATTAGGTGTATGTATCAATCTATTAAATGATAAAAATTTATAGATGATTAAAATTTACATGATTGTTACGTAAATCAAAAATAATAAATCAAAAATTTTTCATTTCATAGCCAATTGAATCACACTCAGGTCAGATATTTGGAATTGTTGAGTTTAACTTTGGTTAAAGAGTAGTGTTATGTTCATCTATTTGTAGCTGAGAGTGGTCACCGGTGTTGGTACATATACCCAAGATCTGTGTATTACCGTATGAAACGCAAGGTATACTATCACAATGTTATTCCCCCGACGTAGATTATAAAAGTGAACCACGTTATATCCCGTTACGTCTATCGTGTTGATGGCTTGGGTGGTTTGAGAGTTTAACTAAGTTTCTCAATTTTACGCTTACAGGAATAAAATATTCTATATAATTGTTAAACTGTTTATTAAAATTTACAGTTTTACATACACTAAATTATTTTTATTTAAGTATTTAAAATGAAATATCACTCAGGCATATCATTCATTTATATCAAGACATTACTTGATATATTCATATGATATCAAGTGAAGTCTTGTCTAGTGACTTTTACAAATAAAACTTGGAGTTTGAACATTTAATTTCAACTTTAGAACAAAGTTAAAACAAGCGGGATGAGACAATACTATCTCCTTCATCAACCCTCTTGTAAGTTTTCTAAACCACGCATGTTACACGGAGTAGCAGAAAAGGTGGGATATAGTAGAAGGGCAAAATCCAGACAACGGGTAGACTTTGTGCTTGAAAGGCCCAAAAAAATGGCCACACTTCTAGCAGACCTTATTATACATATTTTAATATTACCCTTACTGTATCAAACAAAACTATCACTTGCACCGGCATTCAGAAGGGACTTTGTTTTAATCAAATTAGAGATGTGAAGTTATGTTGACAGCGTTAGACGTCAAACTTCCTTCATCCAGCACAGGCACGTCCTTCGCCGTAGTTCAAACTGGGTCACGTCAGTTCTGTGAGTAACTGTTACGACCCAGTTCCTCAGTGGGTCGCATCCGCTGCCGGAAGTAAAAGATTCTGCAACGTCTATACACAAGTGAAACCATGTAGTACTCAAGGCTACAGTAATGTAATTGTCACGACATGCCGTCTGCCATGTCTTGTTCGTTCTGTTACACTCACCGAGCTAACCTCAAAGGCACATGTTACTACGTTCCTCAATCATAATAATAAACGTGGTTGTGCTAGGGCCGAACCAAGTCCGAGATCACTTGGGGGGTGACACTTGTCAGCATCGGAACGGTGCATCGGTAAATCCTGTTATTCCGAGTCAGTAGGCCGCCGATCGGAGGAAGCGCAGGAAATAAATTCGCCTTCTTCTGGATGCTCAGTTCGGCTCTCTAAGTCACATCTTACAGTTCAACATTGCATTGAGATGATCGATATTTTGAACACCTTAGCTCCAAACACAAATACTTGCGCAAGCAAGTGCTGCAATGCGAGACAGGTTCGTCGAAGGCTTTTATACGACGCAGAATTGTGACTAAATCGATTTAACCTAAAGTTAATTAGTGCTTTGCGAATAATATATAAGTTTTTGTTTGTGACTATGAATTATGTGAGTATCTACTCTTGCATACAACTAGCGCTCTATAATCAGATGTTTTTCGTAGTAATCTGTTGTGAGATGGTGGCGAAAGAAAAGTTCTGGATAATTTCTAGGAATAGCCCACAAGATAATAAAGCCTTAAGTAGCTGGAATCGCTGGAAACTAGCATTAGAAACCGGTTCAAGATCAAACGAGCTTTCAAGTAAATTCATACTCTTACGGTGGAAAAAAACAAGCTTCATCCAGCATAAATGTCGAAACATTTTGAGAAGCATTGTTGAATGTTGGAAAATTCCTTGGATGAATAACAATATGATCAAACTAATGCTTGCTATAATCTACTTTTACTCCACAAAATTTGTTGGGCTGTATTAAGATAAGATTGAATACAATAAATGCCCTGATTTATTGAAAATCTCAGTCAGCTAGTCTTAAAAAAATCTGAAGGTTAGCAACTCGTGATTTGTTGTGTATCTCATGTATGTAAATGGACTTTCCATTATACGTGCTGACATGCAATTCAAATAGTTCATAGTTTGAGGATATGTCGACATTTACGAAGTGCAATTTCATCTTTGTCGGCATTTTGTTTGGGAAGAGTACAGCCGTTTTTAAGACAAAGGCTTATTGTGCATTAATGAATTTGTGTTATTATATACACCATCCTTGTTTACAAAAGTTTCTTCCATGGAAATGAAGTTAATCATCTTTGACATCAACGACAAGAAATAACATTATGTTTGGGACTAACCACACTACAAACTAATGGGCTGATTGGAGGGGAGTCCCGCATATTTCCAATAATTTTACGGGCAAGAAATCAATTTGTTCTATCGGAGTAGAAATGCACAGTATTATTTCGGCACGATCTAATCACAAATATTATGAAGATAGTCTCGCATCATTCCCATCTTTCTTTCTTAATCTCTTCAACGGCTTTCTTTACTCTTCATGAGGATGAAAGTAATAAATGTTTTTGTTCCTAAAGCGATTTCTCTAGCTCAAATGCCGAAGACTCCGGACATTCTGTACCCCACGGTCCGGGCCAGCCCACTGGAAGGTCATAATAAAGAAAAGGAAACGAAGGCAAACAATAACCGCGGAAAAGAAGTTGCGTATGCTAAGCAGCAACGGATTCGAAAGATGTGGATGGGCATGAAGAGGATGTGAGTAGACGGATTTGCCTCACTCAATAAAAAACCTCAATTTAATAAGTGCATATCGAGTAATTGAAATGTGCTTTTTATATGTGACTAAAAACTAATTGGCACTCTACCCTTGGATACAATGTAGCGCTCTAGAATCAGAAATTTTGAGATGGTGGCGGAAGGAAATTTTTAGATAGATCTTAAGAATAGCATTTTGCCCTGTCTTATTTCGGCTTAACTTACTCACATGTATTGTGAAGACAATATCGCATTATTGCCATCTTCTTCTTCTTCTTGTACTCAAAGGCTTTATTTCATCTTCTTGAGGATAAATGTAATACATGTTTTTGTTCCTACAGCAACGTCTCGGGCTCAAATGCTCAGCCACTGAAGGGAAAATCTGGGTAATATCAAGAGAAAAATACCGGGCCAGGACCGAGGGGAAACGCATCTGTAATGAAGGTTACATCTACGTGAAATTTCAAGAACTAATCTTCGGCTGGCGTAGACTTAGACTTCTTGTAACGAGTCTATATCCTGTCTTATACACATTTCCAAGAATCCGATATTTTTTAGGTCTTTTTTACCCAGGAGGAATACCTGCAGGTGGATCTACAGAGTGATCGGATGCTGACATGTCCACCAACAGTGCTATTGGTTAAACCTCTTAATTTTCAACATTTGGATACCTTTGTCTAATATTATTTTTATATAATTCTCCCAATGTATTGTTAATAAATCATGAGATATCGTTGAATCATTGTTATATATATATAACAATGATTCAACGGTATCTCATGATATATATATAATATGTACATATAAATTATTGTATATGTGATTCTTGCAGAACCTTGTCTTCCTCGGAATATGTTTTCGACAAATTAATTCACTTGGATGGGAACACCACTGCAGACGGTGTAATAACTCTAGAACTCTGAAATTCGCAAAGACCATCTTGCTCTAAAACAGGACTTTTCAAACTGGCTTCAAATCTAAGTTTCAGTGTTCAAGATTTGCTGATGATATGTGTAAACCTTGTGTTATATTTATAAACATGGTTTTTTATAAATATAACAAACCATGTGGAAGTAAAATGTGGTCGGATGGAGACCTCTGGCTTGGCTATAATGATTTAAGTTTCGGTGACACTCGATCTTATCTAAGGCTTGTACTTGATCTCAATCAATTTTGGATGTTTCGTAACCAGTCCATACTTGGATAATGTAGAAAAGATCCAAAATTGTTACTCGAGCATAGAAAGTCTAGCCCTAAATCCTGAACGCACACAGTGTATTCAATTCCTCCGAAGATTCTATGCAGTTTCGACATCGAGACTGATATACTGAAACTGTAAACAGTTTCAGTATTGAGTACATTGTGCGTTGTAGATCATGGTCCGAGTTCCTAATTTGGAACAAGTATGATTGCTGAATAAAACAGCAAAATATTTGCCTCCACCGACCAGTAGTATACAATGCCCATAAGCCCAGATGCTGAACAATTATATGAATTATATATGTGCTTTCTTATAAACAATCTGTTTGAACCGTTCGTGGAGGATGACAGAATATCATCCGAAGCAAATATCACCCGCATGTAAATAAATATCACCCATATGTAAATTTCATCGAATCATCACCATGTATGCCCGGACGTAAAAGCTTCTGAGGGAGATTTCCCCATTACATTCATTGAGATTGCAGTTCCAACCGATCAGATTCACGGCCCTGTTCGAACTCAATAATCAAGAGTCTTTATTAGGAAGCTTCACATTCATCTGAGAACTGACTCCAATTTAGAGCCATTACATGGTGGTCCATATTTTGCTTCTGAGATGATCCAAGGTGACCAATCAGTATTCGATGCGTAGTAATTCACCGCTCCTCCCAATCCCTTCAACAATCAGATGTTCTTCGACATCCGTAATGGATAACCAATAAAAGGAAGAATTGATCGATGGATGTGTAGATCTGCAATGACCTAATTCTCTACCTCTTGTTTTATCTCGCAGTTCCATGCAACTGTTGTTCCATGAACGAGTTGTTTCTGCGAAGAGGCCTGAGTCGATTCCATCTCTAAAACCGGTTGGACCAACTCCAAAGCTGCTGCTGATCTAGATGTGGGAGCGGTAATACTATTGTTATGATCACTCTTCTTAACCTTTCGAATGTATCCAGTTTTCACGCGCTTCAATCTCTCCGATGTCGACGGATGTGCAAAGCTGAAGTGCTCCTTCACAACCCACCCTTCTGGAAAACTTTCAGGATGTAAGTGGATATACCTGCACATCAACGCTAATATTGGTTACAATTTCATGAAATTCACATCTCCAACGTGCACTCAAAGTTAAATTTCTTCGAGGCATCCGACCTTACACCTAAAAGCTCAAAATGATTATGAGATGAGAAATCAGGGTAGACTGTCATTCAAACATCCTTAAGAAAATGATTCATCAAACTAGAATGTCAAAGCAGTAGAACAAAATGCAAAATATTCAGAATCACGTACCTCTCAATATCATAGAGAGAGCGCAGCTTTCTGCCTAAAGGGACATGACGGTAATAAACGTCGCAATAGATCCCTTTTGCAGCTAAACCAGACCGCACGGTTATGATTCTCTCCCAACCTGAAGGGACTGGAGGATAATTGCCCTTATCCAAAAAGAAACAAACATCAGGGGATTCTGCATAGTGATCTTCGGACTCACAGGTGGCTTTCATGTCTTCACCCCACTTTGAGGCATGTTCACACAACCAGGGCTCCAGGGGATTGAGATTCTGCCTCCTATAGAGAATCTCATACTCTTCCTTACTGGGAACTTCCCGATATTTGCCACATCTTGCACACTGAATCGCGTATTGCTTAATGTCTTGAGTGGGCCACAATCGATTGTCCAAGCTTTCACACACTCCCAATGGCTGCAACGTCAACTGTCCAGAATTGGAGTCACTCCCAGTCTCGTGAGCTTCTCCATGGCGGCTGGTCTCTAGAAGTAGAACCATGATAGCTAGTTGTTGCAGATGGGTCCAGAACAACGTCAATTATCTGCTGGACTACCGCGATCACCTCAGATTCCTTCATGCACAGTATCTACGATATGAATGAAAACGAGCTGAATATTTCTCGGCTGATAGTGAGATGATGATGCAAGACAACCTTGACTGGACGTTATATGGTTTTCAACACTCTTCTTACTTATGACTATCACATGAAGGTGTCAGACTAGTAGATGAGTTTACACTGAATTGAACTTCGACCAGCCATTATACTCCGTAAGTAACGGATTGAGGCTTGCAAACCAGCCATGTCGGTGTCAGCAATAATGCTCTGTATACACCTGATTGACGTTGACAGACATATTTCTGAAGAGATATGCATTCAAATTTTGCTATGTCCAGGACATATTACGAACGTGTGTGCACCTCATGTGTCTAGGGTACAGAGGTTTCAGGACAGGAGTCTAGTCGCAAGTACAAAGAGCTTGCTTAAAACGTGATCTACAGATTGTGAGAGACTAGAACAGGTGAATTACATTTGTCTTTTAGAATCGATTTGATAGAAGAGTGGTATGCTGGGTCGGAGCAAAGCATTTAGCTTGTCGAAGTTTCACACTCCCACGACCTCAAAGAGACCAACACCAGAGGTTTATCATCTCCTATGAATCCACTTCTGTAATTAATTCTTCGTCGTGCCGTTGATACTCATAGTAGTTTTTAAATTTGAGGTATAATGAATCTAGGCATCTTTGTTCAGGATTAGCAAAATTTTGTTTGGCATTGCTCCTTTTGCAAATTGCAAGTACTGTTGGACATGGGGAGATGGGGGGTGCGCTGTGTCTAGCTGTTATCCCATACTTCGTTGCGTAAGGGGATCCTGAACAAATTGAATCTAACCGGTTTGAGTAGTGGATATGAAATATGAGTGCATGTAAAATGTGTTGGAGACATATTCTGTATGGTGTGTTATTCCTTGCAGACGCGCCTTTACAATATTGGCAATTGTGATTGAGTGTTTGGAGGTTTTGTAATGTCATACCGCTGTCGTATTAGTTCGAACACATTGAACCCTGGTGCTCATCAAGATCACCAACTTTCATTCTCAAGGAATGACATCGCACAAATGAGTTTCAACAATCAACCAACGTCACACGGTGACAATTCTCTACCACCACACAACGAAACTTGAGAATGTATTTGACCTTCCATCACACGTTGATTTCATTTTGTCCATGCTCAGTATGAAGAATTAGCAATTATATTCTTCACATTAAATCAGTGCAGGTTCTCCATATCATAGTTGGTGGAAATCAGGTATTCCCCACGATAGGTAGTACACAGTTTTCAGTTTTTTCGGGTAGCCCTTAATCATACTTTCTATCTACCAAAGTGCATTATTACTAGGACATCTTAGTCTGTGGAGATCAATCAAAATTGTATCCATCATCGAAAAATCACTGTAGCAGCCATCCAGAATCGAAGTAGTTTAAGATGAGCAATTCTTTCTTTCACAGCATGCTGGTTTTCAATTTGAAGCAGTGGCACCTTCATGCTGAATTACACAATCCTCTTTTCAGAGTTGAAACCTTGACTGTCATTCATTCATATCTCAAGTGCAATATAGCGGTGCATATCTCACGTGCACCAGTGGTGTCGTTAAATTACATTAAGAAGATATCCCTACATCACACAATAAACTTTTATTCTTCATTGGCATAAGTTGAACGACGTATGATTTGCAATACCGTGAAGGTGATTCCACAATGATTCGTGTAACATATCCATATCCATTGACAACTCCCATGGTGTCATGAGGCCTCCTACCGCATTCATTTCATACCGTTTCTGTGATTTTTGAGAAAGACACGACAGAACGGGAGGATAACTCAAAGGTTGTCAAGGAAGATCATTGGAGATTGCAGCAAGAACGAATGAAGACGTGATTACACATAAACCCTTGTGCTCAAGGAGTACTATTGTTTATAAACCCACAAAAACAATCTCGGAATAACAGCTTTGGTGATCACACTGTCCAGTTTGGTGATGAAAGTACAGAGCATAACTTACCTAAATAAGCGACTGATTCGAACTAGCTAGAACTATATCATTTCCTGAATGTACAGAGTGATGAAACTTCTTGGGACACAACACAAAACTCACACAACACTCAAGACAAAAATCCTCGGATATCTACGTCTTGTAGCGTGTACAGGACCTCTTGTAACTTTACGCAAAGATACACCACACATATGCTGGAGATAAAACTCTACTCTTTACACTCCTCCTGTCAGAGGCGGCAAGCTACAATCCCGATACCAATGAGTGTTGATAGTACTGGATATGCCATACATTTGAATTGGATCAAAGATTGAACTGGAATATGGTGAGCTATAATCCAAAACTTCCATGTGCAGGTCGAAATGCATAACAAACGTCATTCATCTGCAAGATAGCTCAATTTTCCTAACAGTCAAGCGATAACTCATTAGACGTTTAAAACACAACCATCAGTCGACATTTCGTCGGGAGTGTATTAATCGTTTCAGTGCATACCAAAGCTAAAAACTTGGCTTGATATATTCGTATCCAAAAGATGATGATGACATCATCTTTTTGTCTTGTCTCTATAGCTCGATTGCTCCAAGAAATACAAACCTTCAGCACAAGACATATCTCAATCCAACTGTGAGATGAATGCGGCCGCGTGGCTTTTCCGATCTATTTATAAGACAGTAGAGAAAAGATTGTAATGTTGTGGAACAAAAAGGAGTTGGTATATAAAAAGAAGACTTAATATGCATGTCTCATTCCGCAATAAGCAATATTGCGACTCATCAGAGATGGAATGAATCCTTAAAAAAGGCAAGCGTTCAAGCAGGACAAGTAATGAGAAGATGGACTATTCTAGACAATTAGAATAACACGGGATCAACCAGACGGGCTTGAGACTCAAGGGACCCAAGAATAACGATCCAATAGGGTTAACACCAAGGGCTCTGGCTACTGTATAACCTCATGTTAAAGAAATTAACAAATCCAGATAACAACATTCGAATAGTACCAAGAGCAACAAGATTAACATGTCAGTCATGAAGGCCTTACGGAAAAGAGAAGCAAGCGGTCACAGTCCGTTAAAGTAAATCCACACATAAGAGACAGAAATGAACCACGCTTGAAACAACGAGAGCAAGCACACTCTCGGAACATAGCCTTTTGGGAACGACATGTACGGGTTATGTCATTTCGAACAATGGAGAATTTGTCTATGGAGAATATGTCCTACAGCACCTAAGATATCGGAACTATCGAGATAGACGTCATACAAACAACGTAGCATACAACCAGAAGATGTAACAAATAATTCATTTTTCCACCCTCAGATGTCCAGTTGGAGTAACCGAGTAACTTAGCTGCTCTAACCGATTGAGGATAGAGACATGCATGTAAAATATATTTTCGCCATGGAGATGGATGGAGCATTCCAATCCAATACAAGTCATACCATATTAAGGAGATGTATTATGGTAGTACAAAGTGGTATCAATTTTCACTGTTTAATAGATTGAATACTTTGAGAAGAGTGTGATCATCACTTCACATAAGGTTTATTTACTCTGAAAGTTAATAAAACATGATAACAGATTGTTTATAAGATCGTAGATTGGAAGGCATCTTCGTGTGTGGTACTCTTTACTCTTCGTGTCCACTCAGAAAAAAAATCTCATAAAATGGTCCAGGCAGGACTTGAACCCGCAACCCAAATTTCGGCTGAAACGGCTCTGGCATTGAGCTACTGGACCTTACATGCCCCAAGAGCTGTTCATTTGCTTCAAGAAACAACTAATCGACGCAACCTTCGTAGTCGAGGGCAATCTCAGAACACACTACTGTACTACAAAGTGTTCAACAATCCCAACGCTTCAAGGTAATATTTTGGATATCCTATGCTACAGTACTTACTAATAAATCAAACGTGAACGGGATAGAGACAACCTTCCCCACTCAAGGACAACCACCTCCTTGCCTGTGAACCAATGCTCACAAGTGCCAACCCGGAATTGATACAAGAAGAAGAGACATAATCTTCTGTAGCCTCTCTTAAATAAATTTGAGATTTTGTGCCGTGGTCAAGAGTGGATATCTTCTACCAAACGTGTAAACCAATATCCTCGATATCTGCTCCTTCAGTAAGAAAAAAAACTCATCCACAATCACCCAGTGTCAGTTACGTGATGCAGCCCTCTATGCACTCTGGCTCACTGCCCACCTTACAGGCATGGCGCCCTTCTCATGCCTGAATCTCCATGGCATCGGGCTAAGACACCATGCACATCTGGGACGATGTTGTAATCATGAGGTAGTCTTGCGCTTTAAAAACTTCTATGCTTAAAGGATGTAGCCCAAAGTAATTTCAAACATCGAGGGAAATTCTAAGCACCATCGACCATCCAAGACAGCAGCCATCACATGGATAATATGGCAATGGACAGGATCTCAGGACCAGAACTACTATAGAAAGGGTAGGCATTTGTTTAGAATGTTTCACGAGTGACATACAACCAAGAACAATTCACTCAGTAGATTTTGAGGTTTAACAGACATACACTAGGTTAAATAAATCACTAAACGGAAACCGGGATGAAACGAAAATGTGATGTGCTTTACATGCCTACAGTTGCGTTACACTACGTTTGTCCTCCTTTGAGTGATCCGAGATCTGATGACTCAATCCTCATCCGGTTGATTGTAGAGTCAAAGAGGTGGCACTTCCGTTTTGTACATGAGCATGGTCATCTATATCTTGAGCAAGCTTCTCCTAATAAAACACATACGGTCGTTTCCTGACGCGCACCTAACACGGGAAAACCTCCCACCTCCGACCACTGATAACCTATGAAAGAATAATAAACGCAAGGCGTCTGTGAAACACTGAACATCTGATGTTCTAAGGTAGGGTTTGCAATCACATTTTCAAGCAGAAGCAAAGAATGGTTTCAGATTTTGTCCTCTCGAACAGTCCACCTTCGTTTTGGTTTAAAACAACGTGAGAATCTAGAGACCATTAATTCGACTAAAAAAATCCCTGAAGCATATGAGATCGAGGGACAAAAATGAATTGGTCTAGGCAGGAATCGAACCCACAACTCAATTTAGTCCAACCGGACTCGTGCCGTACTACTAGACCTGGAATGATGTCTCAGCTAAAACGGCAATGACTTATGACTTTCAGTAAACTCTGCGAGAGGACTCTCTTGCATTAGGAAGTTACTGGTAAGCCCCAGCTTCGAGGATGACTCCGTCTTTGAATGCGGGTCTGTTCTGGCAAGGACTGCACAGTGAGGTACAGTCCTCGGTGCACAGTGAACCTTCCCTTTGAAGCTTTCATCCGAGCTCCTCCGAGCTCCTCAGACAATGATGCTTCTTGAAGAATAACCTCGTCACTTTCAGCGACTGGAATCTCCCTACCGTATCCATTCGATGAACACTACAGCAATATCCAGCATCAATCCCGAGCATCTTCACATTAGACTTCGTGACCTAGACTTCGTGACCACGGCCTTCAGGTCACATCCCATCCGTACTAGACATGCCAAACATGAATCTTTCATGTAAACATACTCTTGTGGTTTCAAAAGTTAGTTATAATCCTATACAGTAAATGCGAGGAGACTTAAGCATACTTAAATGGGTTCCATCGGTGGAGATGTCAAAACAAAGGTTCATCCAGCAATTCAGCCCATCATTGCTACTGAGAGATTCTGGCGTTAAAAGTTGATGACCAGCTAGCTACTCTTTCAACGTGCTCTAAGTGCATTTCGAGACCAACGATTTTGTTAGCAGACAGGCAGTAAGACTCAATGAAGTCGAAATTCAAACATTCAATAAACCACTAGCCACCAATGCAAGTTCAAACCCTAAATCCCAGGAAGCTGCTCGTCTTAAGAGTTCTTCGCTACCCCCTATACAAAACTACAGCAGTCAAATTCACAGAAGAGTCACGAGTGCCGTACTGTGCAAGTAAACAGTTGCATCTGCTACGTGTCAAGCCAGATTCAATCTGTGAAGAACTGTGCTACAAGGCTGATGGAACAGTTGAACCTGATGCAGAGCATAATAGATTCGCCGTGTTTGTGTCGTAGCTGAGCTTGGTAGATTCCACCTCGGCGGACCTTTTTACTGCAAATCATGCACATTAGCTAGGCCTTCCGATCTGCATCTCCCGGAGAGAGGAAGCACCCATTTCTAGCACTGCTTGCATCTAGCTCACCGCATCGAGCCCGTGCAATCGCCAGGGAGGGTGTGATCCGTAATTCCTTCTGTTACACAAACAAGACCAGCTTCGTGATAAGCTTTGAAACCATTCGCTTCACCCTTCGCGGCTGATTTCCACTGTACGTTGACGTAATCATCATCTTGGACTAAAAGCGAAGACAAGAACAACTTTCTGAAATCCTTTTCTGCTAATTGTACCCTACTCCCTACGGCCATCGACTATATTCTATAAAGGACAATATGAGTGTGACACAACTATGTCTAGTCCGGGTAGGAAGCGAATTTGCCGCTCATCGCTAGTTATTAAGCTAATTTCATCCCAATGAGATTAGCCTTTACACATGTCTCTACGACCATCTAGACTTAGCGGTCATACATGATACCGTTATGGAATTAGTGCAGCACTTGCATCTGAGTGTGGATATTACAAAACACAAAAGAAATTGTCGGATATTTGTCTAGTAGAATCAAGTGTGGATTTGTGCTTGATTTGGGGATAACTTATCAGTTCTCGAGCCATTTTGTTCACCATTAACGCAGTATCAGCAGATGATGACTGGTTACTTGATGTGCGACCGATGGAGTGGCATTTAAGGTCTCCCTACAGGGAAATTTTTTAAGTCACTAGAGTCTAACACACTAAACAGCAGTAAAAATAATTTCCCTAACATTCTGTACACTATATTTTAGTAAGCTTGAATTAAAATTTTTTTATTGGTTTTACACATACCACTAGATAGTGCTCTACCTAAGAATACAATCATAAATATTTTGGGGAAGCCGTTTGTTTTTGTTTTTAGAGTTTTAACTTTTTATCGCTATACGTTATTTATCAATATTGCAGATGTGATCTTTGACATATATCTCGCTAGGATACTATTAAGTACTAATTGCTTAAGGAATATATTTTTTGGTTCTAATATTTGAAGGGGTCTTCCCGTACTAGTTTCAAATTTCTTTAATCCGTATATAGGATGTTGATACTCGGATCCAATATCATAAGAAGGTTTTTGGAATTTTCGGCATGTACAAGTATTGCAGTTACTTTTGACAAACTCTCAGTCAAACTATATGATCTAGATAAGGTTGACAATAAGAAAGAGAATCATTCTTTTCCTGTTTCTCTGTTACTGTGAATGACTTTTCCTTTTGTGGTTTCAGAAGTTCTTGTGACAAGCTTGTGCTCTATTGTCGACCTCACGGAATTATACAGCTTTTCATGGATAATAGAGTTTTTACAAGATAATCCATTCAAAGACGAAAGAAAACTTACATTCATGATAAAATTCAAGAAAGAAAAAGTTCCAAAACTATGTTCTGCACAACGTGGGATTTCTAACTTCAATATCATTTCATGGCCTCGTTCCATCTATCTAATTGAAGATTCAAAACATCGTGGAAAGTGTCAAGGAGAGTTCTGCAGCCTAAGGTGTAAATGGGTGCTATGGTGATTTGTCACAATATATTCTTACAGAAATCAAAACAAAGCAAAACAAACCCAAGCTTTCATAGTCATCGAGTACTTTGAAGGACCGAGGTCTTACACGATGACAATGATAGGGACTATGTTGTACATTTTTCTAGCAAGAAAAGGATGAGTCAGGAACAATAAGTGAACACTTTGTTCAGTTCAATTCAAGTTATCAGCTACTTGTTAAGGATCACATTCATTTATGTGTAGGTATGGTTATATTAGGTTGTAAAGGGACCTAAATTACCTAAACTGTCTGACTATTAGGCGCCTAAATTAACGTGGGTGTGATTTGCCGCCTACATGTTGCAACCAATGGGAAGGGGACTCCTTTGCAGATTTTATGGATTTTTTAATTTATTTCTTTAAAATTAATGTAATTTTTTCTTAAAAGTTTTAAAAATGAAAATTTTTCGGGGAAAAAATTTTAGTAGACTAAATTAAGCTAAACTAAATTTTTAGAGGTTAAATTGGTTTACATTAACTTTTTAGTAGACTAAATTAGATTTTTAAGGGAACTAAATTAATGTTTTTTAGGAAACTAAATTTGCCTAAATTATTTTTTTAAAGAGACTAAATTAACCGTATTTAGATAATTTAGCCTAGTTACTATTATAACCATGCCGGTTTATGTGCATAATAGAATCGGACCAGCTTATACAGTCCTTGGATGTGATACCTACCGGACAACTCAAACTCAAGCCCAAAGAGGTTAATATGATTCTCTCCAAATAAAACCAGCGATAACCATGCATGAAGTTTAGATGACGACGTAAAGCAGTCAGAGGCATCGATAAGCATTGGTGGTTATGTTCGTATCAGTGCGTAGGAAGAGGTGGTTTTACCATCCCACTAGTTCTGAAGATATGTCCTTTTGTACTGTTTCTAAGCTCAGAGTGTAACGTTCTGCCCAACCCTTTGGGGTTGGTTCAATCCACGGCGATGACAGAACGAGGTTCATGAATGTCCTGTGGAATATTCTCTTGGCTTTACTGCAATGAGTGAACTTAGTGTCTATCACGAAGTGAAATTGACTTCCACCGCGACTTTGACATTTGCTCTCTTTCAGATGCATGAGAGGAATACGATTCAACTCTGATGACTAGAAACCAAAAAATACGAGGCTGCATTCCTTGTATTTGACATTTTGATCAAACCTGACGGATAGTATGGTACTTGAATTTGGCTGTTCGTATGTGAGGTTTGTCCGAGGCAGAAAAGCAGTCTGTCTGAGATCCACATCGTTCAAAGTGTAATCCTGAATAACGCCACAGGGGATTATTGCATAGATTGTGGGAGGAGATGCGAGGATCAAGGCAACATCAGTTAGACAACTGTCAATCACGGACATACATGAGCCTCCTCTTGATCTAGATCGACCACAGACCTCGATCTCTAAGTCCGAAGATCGGCGTCCGGAAAGGAATTTCGGATGCATGTCCATTGTCATCCACTAGTTACAATATTTGATCTAAATCGTCGTTCTCCATACGCTTGAGCCATGCCGAATTAGAATGAACATATTTGCGTCAAAGTCGCATATCTTAGTGTCTTCCCTATCTTTCAAACTTTACTCGATAGTCTGCTGGGACGTGAACACATTGCACTGTGGTCTGTTCACAATTAGGAGCATTTACGATTGTGGTACCAAGTTGGACTTGAGTTCATATCTCTATCCGCCCACGTAGAATGAAACAGATAACACGCAGGAAAAGATTCAACTTGGTGATCTGGACGCAAGACTTATGGAGTAATTTCATATCAATTCTGCAAAGCAATGCGAGGATTCTGGAAAGTTAAACCTAGTGGGTGAGGTAGAATACCGGTGACTACCTCAAAATAATGCACAATCGGATATGAAGTGAGACAGCCAGCTTTCCACAGACGCAGGGTAGAAACCGGTGAAAATGTATATAATTTATCTTGTTCAAATGCTTACTCAGTACATGGATACCTCACCAATGCGTTACAATTCTGAGTACTGAGTCACATTTGATCTTCCTCCCACGCAGATGCTGTCTAACGCAATCAAGCCACGAAACGAAGAGCACCATGAACACCATAAGAGCTGGATATCTACAACGAGCCAAGTCTTCAATTTTCACCAAGGTCACGAGGCCAACGTACGATCATAAACACCCGTCCACAGTTGAGTTTGTGTGAACTTAGCAGGAGAGGACTGGCCACAAACCCACCAGATGATACAGAATCATGAACCCATCACAACCCATCACAACGTGATTGTCGTAATCCCTCGGACCTGTCAACTTCTGAGAAATCAGGTAAGTGCAAGTTTACTTCAGTGGCAGCTGCAATGCAGTGCCATGTGCGGATCGATCATCCATCAGCACGAGTACGCCGATCGTGTCGACAGAAGACCTGCTTCCCTTCACAGAGAGCTACTGCAACAGGCCCAGGAGAACATTCTTCCCTGACAGGTCGGAGAACCAGACTTCAGTGACGGTCTTGGATTTCTGCACAACCGTGAGGATGTTGGCGTTGTTGTTTGCGTCGAGCTGGCCTGTCCACAAATTCTTGATGAGCTTGCGCCCCGAAGCTTTATCGGTCAGAACCATGTAGTTCTTGGCCCAGTCATCGCCGGGGCCCAGAAGACGGACGCCCTTGGGGCCGATGGTGTAAGAACTCCGAGGGCTCTTGGGAACGCATCCGGTGGCAGTGCACAGCAGCAAATCCAGGGTCAGAGGGGTGAGATTGTTGGCGAAAAGCCGCCAGTTGTTTTGCGCTGATATCGCTGGACTCAGCACCAAAACCATCAGCAGAGGGAGCACAATTGAAAACCTCGTCATGATTGCCAATCCTCGATCCTCTTAGATTATCTGAAAACGTCCGTGAATGTGAATGATTTGTCAGACGGTTGAGCTTGTAAGTTTATAGAACCCGCGTCTGAATTTATACCGTCGTCACTCCGCTACGAATCTCATCGATGCCCATTACTCTTCACGTCCATAAAAATCCCCAAGGGCCGCGAGCCGCACAGTGCAGCTGAACACATGCAGGTCGACATAACACACGTCTCCTTCAACGAGCGAGCTGAAATTAGGATCTTCACCATCCGCCTGTGGAGGTCAACACACCCGGCATGACCTATCTTCAAGTGCCTCCAAGGCACGTCACAAAGCCATGCTCCGGAGGAATGAATGGGAACTAAATCCTTTGCAGTGTCAAGTCAACGTCGTAAATTCAGATTCTTACTTACTGCCACTTACTCCAGCTGCAATTCCGACACAATGGTAGGAGAATCCTAATATAGCGACAGATCCGAGTCATCCCAGGAATGGAGGAGCTGCAAGGAAAACATGCAGCTCCAGTGTGGAGGATTGGGATGATTGCATCGGAGAGAGTCGGAGCATGGCCATCCGGATCAATGAGGATGAGGACGATCTGTGGAGCGATAACGACGAGATGGAAGGTCCACTTCAAGTTTGAGCTGGAGTCTCCCAGTGGAGCTCTCAGGGTGGACCAAGTCAGCTCCCCGTGGCATGTGATCCGAGTTTCAAGTTCCAACCCTTGCTTCTGGCAGAGATCGGAATGCGGCGGGTGTACGTCACTGGAGTCGTGCGCAGAAGTCAACAGCTTGTTCTTCATCTTCTTGCGGATCGAATGAATGTTACGACAAAAGCGTGGATTTTCTGCCGTACTGTCCGTCTGCCTAGGACTGGAGCCTGGGCCATGCTCGATTCAGACGACGTCGAGACGAATGATGGGCACGATCATCATTTGGCTGCGTGCCGGATCCTTTATTCTGTCCATGCTGTCGACTCAATAACTCTCTTCCGCGATCATTAAGGAACCCGATCATTAGCGATAGAAGTATATCGTATAGTACTATCGCTGTCAGATACAACGGGAAATTGTGCCATATAGACTATATGGCACAATTTCCCGTTGTATCAGATGAACTTGGAATGAATTTGGACAGGGAGCCCAAGTTCATTCAATGAAGGCTGCCTCTTTCCGTGTCTTTCGTCATTTGGGGTTTCGTTTCTCTGGACTTTAGAAGCCTCTGCTTTCTACTCTCCTCTGATGGTTTCTGAATTCCATGAGAATATATGAGAATCTCTATATCGTCTTTCCTTAGTTTGTTGTGTTTCAAGCGTATCTGACAGTATCTAAAGTATTAATCGTGTTTTTTGTGAGTGTTTTATTTAGCCATGTTTAAATTTTTGTGATATTTGGGTTGACCCCATGTTTGAGTAACTTTCCTCACAAGACATTGAGGCTTTGGGTTGAAGGTTCTAATAGTTAGCATGGACACGTCACAAGTGAAAATTTTGTAATTTGTGATCCGAAAGGTTAAAACCCGTTCAAGAGAGTGTCAGGTTACATTGCAAATCCATACAAAGAACGGGAGTAGGAGCCAAATTGATTTTACAAAAAATGTGAATTTCATAAACAAGGAAGAAAACAAAGGGCACAAACAATATCATCGGGGTCGACCCGACAGAACTGCAAACATCTCAAGAAGTGAAGACACTAGCGTGAGTTAAAATGACGACATGATCTTATTGTGCAAGACGTAAGGAGAACGTCCACATCCATTGTAAAGAATTCACGATTGTATCTCATTTCTCGCATTACAAATATTGTGGCGGAAGTTGAAATTTTAGATATGAAATCTACCTTACGCATGTCCAATTCGGAAAGCAGAGTTAGCCTGAGGAATATCCTAGATTTGAATTGTTAGGAGGACAATTGAGTGTTATGTTCCGAAAACTTCAGGTGAGGTTAAAATTAGATCGAACTTCATATGATATTGACAAGATATAGTTTTGAGAAAGTTAGTATCCAGTACGACTATATTTAGGGCAGTTTGTGGGTGTGAAATCTGGAAAACATTCCTTACGTCAATCAAATAGTGAATCTGCATAGATTCACTATTTTGACAAGATTCAAAATTTCATTATTAATAAATAGCTAAAAAGCCCCAGAGGAATCCAGTCTCAAGAGAAGCCCTTGTACCCAGCATATGAGCCTTTATGCATGAGAAATGGCTTATAAAAGCCTGTTTGTGGAAAGCATTTTGTAAACAACCTCATATGCTGGGAGCGAGGTATTCTTATTAAGTTCAAATGAAACAGCGGATATCAATATAGATGATTTCTGCTATTTAATCAATCTTCATTTTTCAACATGAAACATACATAAATATATAAATTTAATATCGTTTTTCTGAACATATAATTCAGTAAAGATGCAGTTGCAACCCTGTGGTATCACATGCATAATGATTTGAAGTAGTTATTACCTAAATATGTTCTTTCATTTATAATAAAGATTATTTTTGTTGGAGATCATCTTGAATTATGAAAAAAATATGAAGCATTTTGTAGCATGATTGAAAAGTATTTAAAGCCACAGATTCTCTTGAAATAAAACTTGAAACTTCCAATTTACATGAAGATTTGTGCATGCAATGATGTACTTGCAAATGAGAAAAATTCCCACATCTCTTTCATCTACTGGAACTTAGCCAAACTACTATGTTTGGTTTGTTTATATATGACTTAGAGAAATCTTCCCATGATGTTTAGATAATTACATACTTTAAAAACACATACTAGAGTGAATTTCATTACGAACCAATTTGTGTTTGAAATATGTTTACTTTAAAAAAAATTTACAGATCTTGTTTGTGATATGTAATCTACATAGGATTGCAGAAATATATTAGTCATCGAAAGATATGTATATGATAGTATGAAATGATTTTGTTTGAAAAAATTAAATTTTATTCATACAAGGAAACAAAAAATTAATTTTAACAGAGTTCTCAAAAAACCATTAACCTGAAAAAAATTGCAATCACACTTCAAAATTGAACAAGAAATATTTTCAAAAATGATTTATAATTGTAAATAATTTTTAGATCATTATAAACATCTTTACTTACTTAGAAATGAAGTAGAGGTTACATTATAGACGATTACCTATAATCGTCACTTATCACTTATCTTTCGAATTAAACATTATCTCCAAGTAAAATGAGCTTTTTATATCTAGTGTTACAATCACAATATTAAAGTTTTAATATAGTTAATAAATCAAAAAATTTAGAATTTATATAAATTTATATTACAATAATTTATTTTTTTCAATGCTTGATAAATCAATTTTATTTTAGTTATATGTAAATATGATATTTTTTAATTCATTTCACGAATAAAAATATTCAAAAAAAATATGATTTAGTAATTTGTGAAGAAATAAACTAGGATTCAAGGATTACTTTGATCATCTTATTATTTTTTTGAGTAAAATTTCATTGATTTTGGAAAATTGGAACAAATCAAAGTAACTATTTTGATTTTAAGACTTGAAGAAATTATATATATATATATATATATATATAAGGCAAAACAACTTAAACTAAAACTTTTCTTGAATTTAATTTTTATATTATATAAATATTTAATATCAAAAATCTTAATGTTTATAAATTCAAACTGTCTTTGAAATTTAAATTGTATCGATTAAACAAATATTTTATATATTTACAGATGATCTACTGATTATCTTAATTTTGACTATAGATAACATAATTATAATTAAATACAAGTTTAAATTTGAAATAAAATGTATGAAATGAAGCATACATTATAGATATATATACATATATTCCATAATATTTAAAATATAGCGGTGTATATGTATATACAAGTAGAAAAGAAAATAATATAAGAATCAGTGTAATTCATGTGTATATTGTTGAGCTTAACTTTAGTTAAAGAGTAACCTCAACTCCTAGCTAAATATATCTCAAACAGTCATGTGGACTGGGCTTAAGTACCCGGCTTCTCACTCTAAAATACTTCTTTACATGCATGGAGTATTACTCAAGAGTGATAAGTCCCGGAGAACGTAGCTCTCTTGAGTGTGACCATATTATACGATGTGTCTCTTGTGTTTTACCGTTTACATTTGCCAAAAATAAGCAATTATTTCATGATATTGCATGTCTTTATTAACATAATAGAATGATTTAAATCTTTATATATCACTTTTAAATATAAATATATATACTATAATAGCTAGATATGACATGATGTGATATCCAATGATTGATACTTTAAAATCCAAGAACCTAAACTTGAAGACTATAAGTCCATATATCATATGTATAATAGAATCAAATATCAATTGCCATGATATTTTAGATTAAAAATATATATAAAAATCATTGTAACAAGTTATACTTTCTACCTCTTGACCAAAAAATTTGATCTGATAGATATTTGAATGTTTATCGTTAATTTCAGGATTTGACATTTTATGTTAGAGATATTGAAAGAAATTGACATTTCATTACTTTTATTTCTGATTGCTAAAAATTAGTTTTATAATTTTTCTTAAATCGCGTGATGATTTTGATTGTTGATGTGACGAATTTTATTTGATTATATTTAGATATCATAACTTAATTTTTTCTAAGATTGTTGTATCTCATTTTAGATGTAACAAATTAAATCAATATACATCTGCTTTCCAAAATTGATTAAAATGAATTAGAAGATATGTAGATATATTATGATACATATATGATATTTGTACATTTTTTCTAGTAAATTTAGCAAATATCCATATGAGTACTGATTCTTATTAAATTGAAACATTATCTATTTGTGATGTCATTAAGAATACGGTGTTTGATATTCTGCTCGAATATGAATTCATTGTGTATGTTAATATTTGCTATGACATGTGAATATGAATATATTCTCCTGAAATGAGTGATTATCAGTATTGTAGTTGATTTTTGTTATGGTTGATTTATTTATGATTCAATAAACTTCCTAGATAATTTCGCAAATATGGTGATGATTCCACATCTTCTTATATAAGCTAGAATTGATATCCAAATATAGGAGTATTAAAAGCTATTAGCTCATCTAGCTTGAAATTAAGTGAAATTGTTGTCCGAAAAGAGTAAGTGAGAACAAACAAATCATCCGTATAATATAATGTATGAGTTATTTTCAAATAGGTTATTCCATTGTAAAGATTGAGAGACTAGCAACTTTTTGCTAAAACAGAACAAATGTTTCATTTGACGATACTCTGTATGTTTGCATATAGTTCGATCAACATAGCGATTAGTTCATATTAGAACTATTGTACCTGATTTCATTAGTTCTAGAGAATAACAACTTTCATGAATAAAACCATCCAGCTCTGATTGGTTGAAAATCAAACAGATGAGAGCAAAACATATTTTACAAGTAGTTAGAGACGATCATGTATGCTCGTAAGAGTGGTGGCTACCGATCAAAATATTTTATCAATCTCTTGAGATAAACCCCAAATGATTGAAGAACTTAGAGGTTAATAAGGTAGAATGGAGAGTAAGTAAAGTATCTTTTTTAAAAGCTTACAGAGTATAGTAATATGTAGAGATTTAAGCTTTTTGTTTTCCCAAGATTAGAGTTATATGCAATCCGACTTTTACATGTTTGTGAGAACACAGCAAGAGGTTTTAATTGTAGGTGACATGTTTATCAATTTTTTCTAGTAGGTTGAAGCATATTTTAGTCATAATGTTTCTATTAGTAGGCAGAGAGCAAGAACTAATGCTACATACAAAAAGAGTAAATTCGATGGTCACTCAACCTTACATGCTCTTTAATGTAGACATACATATAATGTATTTTGCTGAAGGATATGTTTTTCATCATGTAAAATCTCTGATATGAATTTGTACATTGACTTCATATTCTCGCTATGCTGAATCGCATCACAATGTTCATACGTATTTGCATTGTGATGCATAACATGTGATTATAGCCGCTAAACCGTTAAATGTTTGGTTTTATGAATGCATATCCCATCAAATTTGATTCATGGGTAGGTGACCGAACATAATAACGAAAAATATGATCATAATGTACATGTTTTCATAAGATACTCACACACCAATTAGGTACGAGAGAGGCACCTCCATGGTTTGAAGCCATGTTTATTTTCCTCTTTTGCGTGTATGTTCTCTTCCCGATTGGCTCCTCAGCATAGTCACATTCTCTGACTGCAATGGCTGCAATGGCTTGCTATTATGATAAACCGGTTGCGTCGCGCACGCTGCGACCTGAGAGATTCCAACATTCTGCTGCGCTCAGTGCCCCAATTGGTTCTCTTCAATTTACATGTAGGACGCGGTAACCCCGTCTTTGAACAATTGTTGGAACATTGACGATGAAATGCGACAATGATCTACGAAATTATGTCAGGCCGTCCCTGTCAGCGAGGTCTTATTTGTTGCTGCAAGTGCACAGCATGTTGACTTGCTCAGTTATTCCAGCTTTGAAGATGTAAAGTCACACTGCCTTTTGCAGTTGTTGTGTCATGTACTTTCGGGAACCAACATAGGCGAGGTTCGAATTTAATTCGAATGCCGTTCTTGTGATTTGTTTCGTGAGTTTTTTCTGGCAAGAAATGGAAGACGTTTCTGTACACAAGCGTGAGAAAGTTGGAAGCGGCGCTGATGGAATGCGTTCAGAAGAACCGAATTTTCCTACAGATGGGGGAGATTTGATCAATGAGTCACAAACATCAATTTCCGAACCTCTATCCAAACCTTTTGAGTCACTGAGTCGGAAGGAGAAACGAAAAACCCTGAAAAAATTACGGAGGAAACAGGTCAGGCAAGAAGCTGCTGAAAAGGAGCACTTAGAAGAATTAGCTCGTTTACAAGACGCCGCGGAGCAATTGAGAATTCAGGAGCAAGAGAAACTTGATGCAGAACGAGTGGAGAAAGAAAGGGTTCAACACGACGAGGAAGAAAGATTGTTTCACGAGCGGGAGAAGAAAGCTCAAGAGGAATTTGAACGGAAACAAGCAGAGCGTTTGAAAAAGGTTCGTGTCTTAGGTTTGATGCCCCAGGTAGTAGTGTTGAAGACATTTTATGTCAGTGTTAGGAATAAGGTTCCTAGCGTGCCCGGATAAGGTAGGAAGGCCCTTCGTCCAAGCAGTCTCTCCCAAATTTTTTTCCAATGGTTACAACTGAGAAGAAACTTACGACTTGTTAGCTCGATGTCGCGAGTGAGTGCCGCAAAGAATCTGATTTTTTTAAATTTAATGGAGGGCTGCAGGAGGAGGAGTTGAGGCTACACCAGGAAGATGAGGAAAAGTGGAGATATGTGGAAGATGATGGACCTGCAGAAATTATATGGCAGGGAAATGAAATTATTGTCAGGAAGAAGCGAGTTAAGGTGCCTGTGGAGCAGGCTGAACAACTTTTGCTTAAGGTAAGTAGCCTCAAAGGATTTTACCATTACGGTGATGATAATTGTTAACGGCGGGGTCGACAAGCTGATCAGGGTTTCGGTGCACAGCTTTTACATCCTTCCGTCTGTAAATCTCACCATCCGTTCCATCTTCTGTACTGCCACAGACTGCTGAGAACGCATCATCGAATCCATTGCCCCCACAGAGTACAGCATTTGCAGCACAGAAGTTACCCCCGCCTTCAACGCCTGATGTGAGCGAACCAAATCCTATGTTCGGTACTGAACAGGTGGGTCAGTTACCATATCTTTTCTGTTCGGTCAGTTAACGGGGAAAATTGCATCGATGACTTACAGCCTGGGGTGATTTACGCATGACCTTATCGTAGTCTGAATTCTCCAGCATTCTGTCCGCTTGATTTTGCAGGACAAGACTCACTGTCCATTTCACATCAAGACAGGAGTTTGCAGATTTGGGGTCCGTTGCAGTAGAGTACATGTGTATCCAGACCAATCTTTTACTCTGCTTATGAGGAATATGTACACTGGTCCTGGTCTCAGTTGGGATCATGACGAGGGGCTAGAGGTTTGTACCGTGCATACTCTGATACACTTCTTTATATTTTACTCCTGGAAGAGAGCCATCACTCACTGTCAAGATCCGAACAGCCTGAGTATCTGCTGCAAATCAGCTGAAGGAATGCTTGGTTAGTGTTCAACGAGATCCATGAAAATATTCCGATATTCTGCGGAAAGTTTCCACGTCTGTTATCCATCTAACTGTAGCTTTGACGACGTGTTCCAATATTTGGCTGCCAAAGTTCGTCCAGACTCTATGTTTGAAAAAGATCATTCAGAGTCTCGCTATTGCAAGCTCTTTCAAGGAAGGTGGGAAGCTTCTTTGGCGTCCGCACGAAGGGAAAGGAATCAGCGCTTATGTATCCTGCTAATCGGTTTTGGGTTTCACATTTTTTCCGTTTAAGCCTGAAAAGAGAAACTTGATTCTACGTAGGTCTTTACTTCGTCTGTGAGATCTATGAAATTGGTCAATTTGCATCGCTGGCACTTGATCTCTTTTTTTCCGACGATGAGGGAGGACGTCTCACAGCGCGTTGAGATATACGCTCAGTACTGCTTTGATCTCTTGAATTGCATTAGCATGCCTATCGGGATGTCGTTCCAAGGAGTAGCAAGTCATCGGTCTTGGTCATTTGCCATTTGTAGCGAACAGCATGTTTCTGCATACCTGCATAGTAGCAGTCGGTTATCCTTGACAAGTTCGTGTAGGATATGGCCTGTCTTCATTGCGGAGAAGTTCCACCTTTTGCCTTGGTGTAAGGCTACAATGGCCATTACATGGTTTGTGTGGCTGCTGAATGCATGACAGCATAGTGACGAGGAGGTTGCCGAACAGTTTGAGGAATTCTATGAAGATGTACACTCTGAATTTCTTCAGTATGGGGAATTGGTTAACTTCAAGGTACGGTTTCCATTCTGGTCAGAAGAAATACCTCTTGACTTTTTGCTGCACCGTTATCTATTGTTATCTCCCAGCCATGATCCACGTCAGGCAATGTTTCTCAATTATTTTTTCAGGTTTGCAAGAATGGATCATCACATCTGCGGGGGAATGTATATGTTCACTACCAAACAGAGGCTGGTGCTCAAGCTGCTTACAATGCAATGAACGGTCGCTTTTATGCTGGAAAGCAGGTCAGTAAAAGTGTTGGCATGTGTCGTATGACGCTATGTATCCCATTTGGGTCACACTTCTAGTATACTAGTTCGGAGTCTGCGACGGGAAAGTTTCGATATATAGTTCACAAGGCGATAACAATCAAAACACTTCGCTGTCTGCCTGCTGCTATTCCCGAGATTGATCAATTAGTCAACTGAATCGTTGGGAGATGCGTTGGATGATTCTCACAAGCGATGCAGTTTAAGGTGCTCATAACCCGGTTTATTTGTCAGAGGTTATATATTGATTATTTGCTCTCTTCCCTCTCTGCTTGAGAAGTTTCTGTGATTGGTGAATGGTGGGGGAGATGTATCGAATCTGGATGTAGAAGAAATATAGTTCATGATATTGATGCAGAAACATGGGAGTTCGTTGTTTCAATTCACTGTTCTTTTATATCATCAATGGTTTGGCTTTGACTATCAGATAACCTGCGAGTTTGTGGGAGTAACAAGATGGAGGGTTGCTCTATGCGGGGAGTACATGAAAGGACACCACAAGGTACTGGGCTTATGCACGTTAAAACCTTGTTCGATGTTACAAACTCTACAGTAGTTATGAGTGTGAGAGATTACAAGGCCTGAATTCCACCTGTCACTTTTAGATGCCAATTTTGAGTTGAATCAATCATGCGTATGTTTTCTGAAAGGGCTAATTAGGATCAGTTGTGAAGTACGAACTTCTCCGCTTTACGTCGACTCGAATCTGATCGTCCTTTTCCTGTGACAGCCGTGCTCACATGGAACAGCATGCAACTTTCTTCACTGTTTTCGTAATACTAGAGGGGAGTATGATTGGGCTGATTGGGATAGCCCTCCTCCCCGCTATTGGGCAGCAAAGATGGCGAAGCTTTTTGGCTACGAACTGGATTACAGGGAAGACGATGATAGACCAAGCTATCATGATGATTCTCAAAGACGTTACAGGTCCCACGAGAGGGCTCGAAGCACGGATGGACGACACAGGAGCGAAGATAGACAGTCTAGATTTGATGATCATGAGCATGTTTCAAGGCATCGAGAGCGCAGGTGGCACAGGAATCATGATAAGAGTAACCTATCAAGCTCTGATGATATCGAGAGGTCTTCTAGGAGCAAGAGGCGCGATCGAAGGCATCATCGATCCAGTCCTGACTCGACTGGTAAAAGGAGTAGGAGGCAAAGTTCTGGAGAGAAAGACGAAAATGGTAAAAGATACCACCAGGAAAGTAGGCAGAGTCTTGAAACCGGTCAAGACGAAGCGGTAACGAGGGCCGTTGATGGAGTGGAAAATATCGATAGCGATAGGAAATACGGAAGAGATCATGATGTGGATGACAATAACGCTGATGAACTCCAACACCGGAACAGAAGGAGAATAGAGCGATATGGAACTCCTCAAATTCATACTACATATGAAAATAGATCTTCAACCAGAAGTTGTACAAGAGACCTACATATACATGACTACCCGTCGTCTAACCATTACAAGATTAGGACATGCAGAAATAACAGTGATTCTTTGGAGGACGATCAGACTGGCCAACATGTCCAGGAAGCCCAAGACAGAACAGAGGGAAGAAATCGAAAACGAGAGCGTGGAGAGAGAGAGCGATATAAGACACGAGAAGTTAGCAAGAGCAAGAGAGGCAGGAGGAAGGATGCTGAAAGCGAATCCAGTGACGATGGATCGTATAGGGTCTTAAAGACATCTAGAAGCGAGCGGAAGCAAGACAGCAGAAGGAGTCTATACAGAGAAAAGCATAGGGATGCGCTTGTAGGTGAGTATATCGAACAAGAGGACAGATGGAGTCTCGATGTTGATACGCAATAATGGAGTCAAAGTTTTTCGCTGGGTGAACGCATCGAAGACAGTCTAACCTGTTCAATTTATTTTAATAAAACTTTGTGCAAATCTCAAGTCCACCGCAGGAATTTCGCTATATACCACCCCTGCACAAATCGCCTATGCATTTATATTAACACTAAATCTTACTTTTTGTGCGACCAGTTTTCTCTCCTTGCTGCATAGTTCAGCCGTTTTTCGTATGCTTTCTTTTGGAAGCAGTGTTATCCTGCACAAGACTTTGTAAGGTGATAGGAATGATTGAGTCGCAATTTCTGTGAGGATTTCTGGCAACTTCTCACGGTTCTTTCCGGCCAGGTGATCTAAAGTGAACACTGATTGGTATCAAACAAATCACTCTTGGTTCAAAAAAGTTTCTTGTATATATAAAGCCTGTACCTTCCTGCTTTTGAATATCAATTCTGCTACATCTTCAGCTGTCAAATTATCATACTGCTCTTTAAGTCTCTAAGCTATAATAGCTGACTGCTGATTTGCATCTTTGATAATTCTGTATGGTTTACAAGTTTGTTGTTCAATTGGTGCGTCCACAGTTCCTGAATAGTGTTTCAATTTGGTCCAGGGCTCGGTAGTTTGTGATTTATTGATGTTTTGTATGGTCCTCATTTAGCCTAGGATCGAGCTTCGGGCAGATACATGAAGGTCAGCCATGTTGAAGCCAGCTTCGAGGGCCAGCCTTCTCGCAACCATCTCACTGTGATAACATACCTTCTAGCTAGCATAGAGACCAGGTACGTTCTCGTTGCTCTGACATTAGTTCGAGTTACACTCGTTTCGTGTACTTCAAAATACTGAGGAAAATATCGTGGGACTTATGTGCAGTCGAGTGTTCTACGTTACACTGTCTGGCACCTTGTTTTGCTCAACTGAAAATAAATTTGTGTTTATTGTTAAGACCCGCTCCTGGCTGTTGAGCTGCGACTTCGGGAACTAATGCTTGAAAGGCTTTTGCCCTTCTTTCATTTTGGAGCTGATCAATTCGGACCATAGATGTGCATGTATTCTACTCGAAATGTCATTTTTCTAATCGCAGTTCTTCGTTCCCTTATTCCATATGCTTCGAGATCGCCATCGTAATCCTGTGTTCGGTTATAAGTATTGACCCTTCGAAAGGCGTCATGATTACCTGTTTATATATCCATTGGCTTTAGCGCAATACGTCTAGACACGGGTACGAAGCTCTTGTCTAGAGGAGGTTTGGTGAGAAGCTACGGTCTTGATAACTGGACAATAAGAGGATTCATGATAAACCTCATACAGTCCGAATCCATTCTGCTCTTTTACTTGTAGTGTTCGATTCCTTAACCTTTCATTTCTGCACTGTGTTTCATTGTGAAATCTTAATTTACATCATCACCTCCTGCACATTCCCTTAAATGTGAGAGTCACACTGTTAAGAAGCTTGCGTCTATCTGAAGTTGGCTACATGTGTCTTCTGCATTTGATACTCTATTAAGATGCACAGGTAACTCCGCCTTCGCATTGTGATGTATGTCTCTTCGCATGTCAGTTCATGGCAAAGCTTTTGCTACATCCAGAGAGATTTACCCCATCAGTAATGGAGGAGTGAAACACCAGAGCTGGGATCCTCTCATCTTTGACTCTTATAACACCCAACCTGAAAATTTGAACAGCTCATCGTTCAGTATTTTGATTCAAAGTTACTGAGTAATGTGTCTTCGGACGCTTTGGATCAAATGATTCTTATACTCTTCACTTGGACCTGGATTGACTGAGACCTCCCTGAGACACAGTACTGGTCCCTCGACTGATTTCGTGGTACACGTTCACACCGGATTCCCTTTGGGTAGAGATGCCCCGTTGATTATATTTCTAAGGACTGTTCCATCACAAGTATTCATATGACTTCTTCCTTCACCAGTCACTGTCGTTCACTTCTATTGGCAAGTAATAGTTGGTTTTTCTGGGTAGGGTCTTTCGCTGCCAATTCACTGCTTCCGTACAAAGAAACCGAGTGACTTCAGCCTAGAGACGTTATCCCTGCACATAAGACACTGCAAACGATGTGGGAAGGGCTGTGGTTCTCACCAAACCTGAAGTGGTCAAAGGACCCTTGACTGCAGACGTAGGCTACGCTGCAGTCCATCTGCAGGGCATCATTTCAGTCAGCCTCTCGCCTCAGACTTTGGTCATTGCTGTACCCGAGCGATGCAAGTTTATCTTGCACTGGGACGCGTGTGACCAAAAGGGCACCCATTAATGATGATCTTCTGTCACTTCTCTCTGAATTTGACCCACTTCATGCAAAATCACTGTAGTTTGATGGAGGTTCCCTGTGGGCCCTATCATGCACTTACGCTGAAGTTACACTCACGTTGATTGACACTAAAAATCTATATCCTCTGTTCTCTCTCCCGTGCCAAGTTTGGCAAAGTCTGCAAAATTCGGTCTTGCCACGAGTCTGGGATCTGCTGCAAAACGGTTCTTGCCGCACTGGAAGGCAGCAGGTGGTAGCTCAAGTCTTGTTCCGAACCTCTGATGATCGATGTAGAAATCAGAAACGAGGTTCTTCTCAAGTGCACGAGGCTGTAAAGGAAAGACTTGGCCGGATGTTGTTCTTCGTGCAGGTACCGGGAGACGCATCTTCATCTTTCAGACCGATTCTTGGGAACGCAGTAAACACTCCAAATTTAGCATACCAAGCAGTGCTCCCAGATCGAAGCATTTGCCAACCGCAAACTTCTTTTCATGGAGTGGTCTCGAAAAGCTACAGTCGTTCCTCGTGGTCTTCGAGATCGACTGTACCGTTTCTTTTGTGTTTTCCGATACTAACAGTGCTCGGCGAGGTTTACTGGTCTTTGAAAACATTGCTGTCACGTGTGGCCGATGGTGTCTCAGCAGCTCAAATCACCATGGCAAATTGTCCTTTTATCTGGTCTATCCTTCAAAAAAGCGAAGATGATGCGAGTGGGCCCGAATGTGACATTCATCTGATAAAGTGCTTGCATGGAGATGACCATTTGGACTTACACCCGCACAAAAAATCTTGACATGCATTTTCCCTGTTTGCCTTCTGCAGTGTGGTTTGGTAAACTAATAGCCTACGACGTCTAGCATATGCGATTCCAAACCCACTTCCAATCTACTCCGGATCGCAGGACAACCACCTTCATTCTCAAGAGCTCCGGCACAGCGTAGCCCCAGCAAGTAGCAGCAGCTAGCTAGGTCCCCTTCACCTGAGCAAGAGCAAGAGCAAGCAGGCCCTGACACAGCAGCACACTCCGTACGGTCCTGTAGTCTGGTACTCCTCCTCTGTGTCCTGACTCGAGCCTTTTGGCCAATGATGTGGATCATTAGGCGAATGCTCAGGTATCGTCTATCCGAGGGAAGAAGACACTTTTCTTCCCGGCATCGCGTTTGTTGCCCATTCGATCGTTCCACTGCCGCTTGGTTCAGCGTGGCGATTGCCGGCCTCCGAACGCTTCCCGTAGACCCTCGAAACGTAGCACCCCACCTGCTGATAAACCACCTACTGCTAGCACACAGGTTCAGCCCGAGCAAGGCTCGTGTGATGCTCCAGCCATGACCTGGCAATTCTAGGTCCCGCCCGAGGTCGAGAGAGATATGTTCTATCAATTTTGCCAGCAGGGCATTCAACTCGCTTCAGACCTACTTCTCGAGTCAAAAGGCTTATGAAGGCACCCTCAACATGATGATCCCCGGAGAATCCACCAGTGCACGATTTTGCGAACTTGCATCCAAGTGCTTATGCATGAGAGAAAGCTGAAGGGATCTAAACGGATTATGGAAACCGTGGCAAGACCCCACGAAGCAATACAAGGACGTCTAACAAATTATTTTGTCTGCAATTATATCTCCCTCCGGATTCCTGAAAATTATATCAAAATCATCGCGCGATGAATGACCATACCGACTTTTTGAGTGAGCACCTCAAAATTCACCCCGCATGACTTCGAATTGCACGACATTCCCAAAGAATCAGACGACGTGTTCCGTAGTCGAAAGCTCCGAGGCGACAACAATCGTCGGAAGAAAGTGCAACAATTCCTTACTCTAGAATCGCCGTTAAAAGACACCGAAGGAGGAGGGACGCACCAAGTGTTCGGCGGTGGAGCTCGGACGGTTGTCACATGTAAATGGCTTCCACGAGCCTGAAGACCCATTCCCCTGCAATAAAGCAATGCAGAGACTAAAATATCGAAAAGGATAGAAGACTTGTCGAAGTCGCACATGGACGATACAAATGGATAACATGGGGCCAGGCCTCATGGCATCACCACTCCACTGGAATAGAATAACTGTCTAAGTTTCCCAGTCCCTTGGGAAACAGAAACGCATGTGAGCGATCCAGTTCCACCGCAGATGACATGACATGACATGACATGAAGGGAAATGCAAGGCGGCGGGCCGCGAGAGGGCCCATGTCGACCGTTGGATGGGAGCCGATGGGAAATGGGGCGAAAATAGGCGGAAACGGGGCAGATGAGGAGCGGGAGGTTTGGGCGAACGCGCAGCGGGGGACAGAGACTGGAGACCGGCGGGGCCGGTAGTAGAAAGGGGGCCGGCGGAGCCGACAAGCGCGGGGAGGTGGTCAGGTGAAGTGGAAGGAATCACATCTACCGATCGCTCTCGGTGGATGGATGTTCGGCTGGTCTCTGTTCGGAGTGGCTGCCCTCGCGACGCCGCCCGATCGCGCCATCGGACGGCTGCGGTGCCCCACTGCCGACGGCACTAGCACCCTCCCACGGTGCGCGGTGGAAACATCCGCGAGCTCCGTCCATTCGAGCGCTGCAGGCCTTGCTGCGGCAGCGGCAGCAGCAGGAGGAAGGACGGACGGAAGGCGGACGGAAGGCGGTCGAGGGCGAGGAGCGCAGATTGCAGAGATTGCTGCGGCAGCGCTCTGCTCGAGGCGGGCAGAGGGAGGCCGAGGCAAGCCTTGACGGAAGGGAGGCAGTGGGAGGCGAGGCCAGCAGCAGCAGCAGCAGGAGGAGGACGAGGAGGAGGGGGAGGGTCGAGGGCTCTTCTCCAGAGGCAGGGGATGGGCGCAGGGATGCAGGGGACTCGATTTCTAGTGCAAATTGCATCAGAGTGACAGAGGCCAATGACCGCACGAATGCCAAGTGTTTAACTCCTGTTTGCGAGATCACTGGAGATATAATTCTCTGCGGGAGGGGCGCAGAGAGGGGCGGAGGAGGAGGAGGAGGAGGAGGAGGGGGGGCGACGGGCGGAGGGCTTCCCCTACTCGAGCTTTTAGGGCCCTGTGCGTGGTGCAATTGAGGTTACGGTGGCTCGAGGTTTCTTGGATTTCGACGACGCCGGAATTTCGGAGTATTGGGATTGATTGTCGTCGGGTTCGAGTATAGATTGCAGGAAGTGTGAGGGAAAGTGAGCGCGGTGGAGTTCGACGATGAGGAGTGTGCAGGTTTACTGGAAAAACGGCACTCGCTGAGTTGTAGGTGGAGAAGGCGTTTGCGTCTTGAGCCGTGTACTATAAATTTTTTCAAACATGGGTATAGGGGAGAAAGGACGTGTTGATTTGAGCGAAGTGATTCGGAACCGATTGTACTTTGCGCCTCTGCATTGGACGGAAGATTCTGTGGTCCTGTCTGCCCTTCCGCGGGCTGGCACTGCATTCTGCATCGACAATGAGCTGGTCTGTAATATAATTCCATATTCCAATTTTGCGAACCCAGAGTTCAAACTGGCTTGCACTTTTCAACTGAATGAACGTATTTCTCCGTCTGGACCTTACGGTGAAATACATGGGACCTTACACGGCTGTTGTGTGACGGCCTAGCGTTATGAAGAGACTTGGCTGGCCTTCTATCGTAGCGACACCCTTCCTCATGTCAAGGTCCTTTATCAGTTATGATCGCAATCACCTGCGAAATATTACCTTACGTGCAGATCTTCAACTTCTCTGCAATCGCATCCTACGACACCTCTCACTACACGCAAGTCACAGAGAACTTCAATTGCCAATTGTGCGCATTGACACAACCACGGAGAATCAGAAAGCTCTGTACCTCGTTCTAACATGAGCAGGAAGTGGACAGTGTAGGACTTTTAAAAACCTTATGCCCATCGACACCCATATTCAAAACATGTACCTCACCCACCTATTTTCAAGTACAATATCCCCTTTTTCAGTAGGTTTGTACATTCCTCACCTACTTTCAGTCTCAAAATCCACAAGGATACGATTGAATTCTGGAAACGCTCATTATTGAACTTCTGCTTCAATGTTGACGTTTGAAAATGTGATGGAGGAGAATTAGCCTCGAAATCTATAGGTAAGTTCACAACACTATCTTCGGCGATGCTTATACTGCAGTTTTGATCTCTTCCAGCATTTTAAAACGTATAAACGGCTGGGTTCAACATATACGTCACTGCAGCGCTCAATAGTTAGATATGTCGGAGTATGCACTCACTTTAGTTTAGAGACATCTATTCAGGAGCAACCTGAATAGATATTCAGGTTGTTCCGTAGATGAAAGCATTTTTCTGGGGAGGAACTGAACGAAATTTTAATGATGAAATCGAAAATTAAACGAGAACATATTATCTCGAGTTCTTACTGGACTTCAAAGGAGGACTTTGCTGTCGGGTTTTGCGTCCCTGATTGTATCCGCTGACTTCACGCCGAGATTACTAATAACTTGAGTTGCTATTTTACTTCTTTCATCGATTGATTGTCATAAATCAATCGATGAAGCCACTTGCAGCTAGATTTTGCACATGTTTCTAGTGGAATGGCATCGCTCGTCAACATTTCCCTCAGGCCCCGACCTAGAGGGTTTCGCTAAGGACTTGTTTAATCGAGGGACTAGTTCATCTCACTTGAAAGCCAAATGCTCGCTTCTTCCTCAGCCAGGTTCCTTCGAGGAAAATATGAACATTGTGTACCATGTCGCGCACAATGTTCTCATGCTGCGTGTCTTGTAGCATCGTTTCGTTCGTTCTCAGGCCTTCATACCTTGAGCCCAGAAGCTTGAGGGACTGTATGAAGACCATTGTGGACTTAATTAGGTCATCTGGTGCACTGCTGTTTTGTCAGTTCTGCGGTTGTCATTTATATTTCGTGGTGCACTACAAACCGTGCATGTGTTGGAGGTTTTTTTATAATTTTTTTTTGTATCAATGTGAATCGTAGTCAAAATTATGTGTTTCGTGTATGATTTTATGAAGGAGTGGCTGCCGAATGAGGAGTTACGTGTCACACTTGTGATTCAAAATGCTTCTCTTGCTATCCTTTACATGTTTGTTGTTCTTGAGAGAGTAACGCTCTTAATATAAACTTTTTACTTGCTGGGATTGAGCAGGTCTACGAACCCTTCTTCGCAGATTTTGGGCCGCTGAATATTTCATGCACCTATCGTTTCTGTTGGAAGCTTCATTCTCTTCTTAAGGTATGCTCCTGGCCTGCTGCACAATGCTAACCTTCGATTTGCAGCCAGTGAACTACTTATAAATCCCTTGTGTTTTGTTAGTTTGTGACTTGTCATCATGTATCGACATGTACCTTTTATTTTCACTTGAATTTATTATTTTATTTCTTTTCGATATGAGCCTAACAGTGTATTTTGAATGGTTTCACCTTGTGATGGAGCCCGTAACTCATTTTGAGTGAGTCAGGATGCAGAAGAGCTAGGACGTTGTGTTCTTTTCTACTGTGGTGCTGACCCCAAGAAGAAAGCAAATGCCGCTGTTCTGGTATGTGCTAAAGTTTGTTCGAAGTGAAATTTAGCACGATCAGCCTTTGGATCTTTGAATAGCACACACAAGAAAGAACAATCGTGGATTGATTTCTACGTAGATCACTTGCCAAGCAAAGTTCTGTCACCTGGATAGCCGAGAAGAAGGTTGTGAAAAGAGGGTCTAGTTATTCCTGCTCAATCGTGTATGCATTGATGGAGTTGACTACCGAATCTGATTACAATAACAAAAGCAATAGTAGATTCGTTAGCACATTTTATTGTAGAATTCTTGTTTTGGGCACTCGCTTTCCTGTTCTTAGGTACTTATCTAAAATGTACTTACTTGGCCACACTCTCATTAATTACAACGTAAGTTGTCCATTTGCAGCTGGGGACGTACCTTGTGCTATTCGCCGGTGTGGAACCAGAAGTGGCTTATGGACCGTTGTCCATGTTTGAGCCTTATGTACACTTTCGTGATCCTACATGTGGTGTTTCCACCTATCACCTTACGGTGTTAGACTGCATCAGGGTACCCGTTCCAACTCTCTGTTTTCGTTGTCTTATTAATTCTTCCAAGTTTGACCTGCGGGTGTTGGACTGCATCAGGGTACCATTTCGTCCTCTTTTATTTATTATTTTGATGGCATCTTGACGCATCTCAATTGAATAATGCACTTCAGGTGCGAATGAATCCTTGTAAACATGGCATCTGGGAATGTCTTTCGTCTCGTCATTACAAATTATCTTATCAATCTGACGGGGTCTTTGCCATATAAGTGACACTTGAAACCTTTGTGTCTGGTCGTCAAGTTTTCTTCATTGCTAGCATAATCTTACAGTAGCAGCACTTTTCAACTCTTGAACCTCGCCGTATAATTTGTTGACGGATCAGGCTGTCGCAAAGGCTGCGAAGGTCGGTTGGATCGATTTCAACAATTTCAATCTAGACGAATATGAGTACTTTGAACAGGTATTTCACACTTTTTTGTTCCAGAGCATCTTCTATGTTCCTGTTTGAAACAGATTTCTTTGATTTCGAGCATTGCAAGTAGTATTTTTGATACTCCCGTATGATAAGTTTAAATGTCTCCAGTACGATTCCCAGTAGACTTCCATGAATGTGTAGTTTGGAGATAGACTTGTTCGGCATATTTTTTCTTGAACTGGCTCGGAATTGCTGTCCACTCCACAGTTCACATTCTATACATTCTATCATTTAGGCTTGACTAATTTAATAATGTAATCTTATGTCTGCAGGTGGAGAACGGGGATCTCAATTGGATCGTTCCTAATAAGCTGCTCGCATTCAGCGGTCCATCAGCGAGGCGCTTAGAGGTCTATACAACGTTCCTCTTTCTCGCTTAATGTATGCTAATTGGACCTTTAGGCACCGCGGGTATGTTCCTTCTTAGGTGAGGGAAAACGGAAGGGAGGGAGGTTCTAGCAGCGTCATGATGAATTTTGTGGGTGAAGTACAGAGTAAAGTCATCAATATAGCGTATCTGCACTTTGGCACCTGACATAGCCTTCCGCCGCAGGATACTAACCCTGGTGGAGCCAAAGGTGTGGTTTTCACCCATCAGGGTTCTTAGGTCGGAACTGCCACAGCTATCAGTCTCTATCTCGTAGAGAAAGAGATCTCACGCAACATTTTAGGATTGTACGAGGTGAGGCAAAGAGGAATGGTAATTGAGTAAGCTGGTATGTTTGCTTTTTAGCTATACCTGGTACAAACGTTGTCTTTAAAGCATTGCGGAAGCTTGCTTGGTCCTCTGTCTACACCCGGATTGCGAAATCCTGCATCACCCAAGATACTCTAAAGTGTATGTGGGCTGGGAGCTGATCGGTGTAAATTTTCCTTCTTCTAACCTTTGAGTTCTTGTCATCTATGCTGTGTGTAGATTTATGGCTACAGAACACTCATTCCTGAGGATTATATCGAGTACTTTCATCGGGTTGGTGCTCTTCCAGTCCTATCTTTAAGCACTTTCTTACGAAATTGTTGTATGGATACAAGTCTTGCAAGCTGACCAGCTCAAAAAGTTCACAGATTTTAGTCCGTGCCATTGAAATTTTTCGTTCTTCTCCGAGTCGTGCTGCTGAGATTGTTTGGAATGTTCCAGGTGGGAGTTACTGCAGTCATCAGGCTCAACAAACGGACTTATGACCGACGACGCTTTGCGGACCAGGGGATTGCTCATTATGACCTCTATTTCCCTGATGGAAGGTCAGTTTTTTTGTGCATGAACAAGAAAAGATTCTCTTAGCCTTTCTATTTTTTCATCAAACTTAAACCTTGAAAAAGTTAGAAGAAAACTTCAAACTAGCGGGATGGCCACTTAAAATACAATGAAGTCACCTTGTACTGTTCTCGCGTAAAGCCTTTCGGAAGCTCTCAAGTAAAACGGCGCTGCTAAGTTATACGCAACTTCAGTTTGTTGGCCTTTTAAACCCTTTGTAGAATTAAGGACAAAGAACAAGAGTCGAAATGGGGAGATTGGGTTATACCGCGCTCATGAAATGTAAGTAGTTTGCCTTCGAAAAGTGACGAAAAAAGTATTTTTTGAAGCCCTAGTGTTGAATGAGGTAAATATGCTGTCAGAAACACAGAGTGGGGAAGAAGCAAATTGCAGATCTGACTTCTCCCTATCTGATGTTGAAAGTTCTCGGATTTCAAGCAATAGTATGGAGAACTCTGTCCTCTTAAGGGTATAAGTGGAGTTTTGGATGGCGGTCATTCCTCGAGACACAGAAGAGCAAGTTGTGGAATCACAGGGTCCTGTGCCTACCGTGTCCCACTGAAAGCAAAATCCCTGCGCAGAACATTGCTGGAGCCAGCAATGTTTTTGCATTTTCTCAGCCCAGATCCAAAGCTCAAAGCTGCCGCACTTTTAACAAACAAATTCGACGGTCGTCGAATTTGAGCTGAACAAGTGGATGAGCTACTGCAGGTTGCTTGCCTGTCAAAGCCTGAACCCCTGGATGGGCGTGCTAGTAGCAACAAATGACGAAGACGATTTACGAGGACAAGGAGATTGAACAGTTTGAGGTTGAAGAGGGACAAATATAACTCATCTCTAGGTGTATGGTTGTACTAACTTACCTACTGGAGTAAACTGGGAAGACAGTGCCTGGTGAAGGCAGGTATTTGCCAAATATCCAGTCATTGCTTCTGAATGCTTGAAATCTAAGACTTGTTTCTTCATGAACAGTTGTCCTACGGACCGCATCCTGAAGCGTTTTTTGGAAATTGTTGAAGAAACTCCAGGTGCTTTGGCTGTGCACTGCAAGGTAGAATTCTATCTCGTCCACGTTGCAAATCTGTTGAAATGAAGATGTGCATGGGGGTTCTTGATAATTACTGGGCTAAGTATTGAGCTGTTTTTAGGACATTTATGCAGATGTCTTGTGCTCATGTTAACAGTAAGTGCGTTTTCATATGACTTGCGATGTACACTGGGTGTACGTTTGCTACACTTTTGTGATTCCAGCATTGTACGTGTATGTAATCGGTGCAGATTCGGATCGTCCGTTTTTGGTTTGTAGTCCCTTTCAACTAGAACATCCGTTTTTCGGAACAAATCGAAGAGGGAATTGATTGTTCTCTGTATAGCAAATACAGCGTTGAAGGAGAGGCATCCCGATGATACCTGAATTGATTCCTGATACTTGCTTCGTCGTCTGGTGTCATGATCGCGCAGGCAGGGTTAGGTCGGACTGGAGTTTTAATCGGATGCTACATTATGAAGCATTATCGATTTACTTGTACGGAGGTGTGAGTCCCACCTTGAATTTTTCCATTTTGATCGCAACTTTCTTGCTTGTCTTTTCCCCATTCTCATCTTGAGTCTTTCAGTCCAGTAACTATTTTTCCGAATAGTTAAACTGTTAGATATTATGAGGTGCAGGTGCAGTATTTTCTACGAGTTACTTCTGCTGAAGTGCTGATGTCTTCTATCTTTTCATATTCCATTATTTCAATTTGGCTCATTACTCAATCAGCTTCCGGATCCTGCTGTTTATCCAGGTCTTAGGTTATCTGCGAATGGTGCGACCTGGGAGTGTAATAGGCCCGCAACAACATTATTTAAGAGATATGCAGAAACGATTGTGGCGAGCTGTACGTTGCTTCACTTAGTCCCTTTGTTAACTCTTGTACACGTAGCCCGTGAAAGCTACTCGCTGAGTTAAAAGTAACTGATACTTATTTGAGTAGATCAATGTCTGCTTTAAAATTCGCACTATTGATGAAATGCGCAGCAGTTGATCTACAACATTTTACGTCTCTACAACCTCTCATGATCGTAGATTTGAAATGTGCAGGGTGACATTATGCGACAGCAGCAAGCGCAAGCAAATGCCAACAGTAGAGAGTTTCTCCCGAGCTCTACTCACGATGGTGCCCCTCCTCCTTCACTGTTGACCGATCAGCCTGCTAAATCATCGTCTTTGGGACCCTTATCACACTCATCAACTGCAGGAGCTCAGTCTTGGACGTCCAGCAAAAACAGGTTCTCAAATTCTCGAACATACTCAACGAATCCTGTGGTCAAAAGAGACACCACGAGAGACCTTGTAGGTTCCACTCTACCATGATCATTAGATAGATGCTTGCTTAAATTTTTGCATCTCGTACGCAAGGCGTAAACACCATGTGGTTCAAGAAATATCGTCGCTACCGAAAGGTTTTGGGATTTTTAATTGACCGTAGTTGAACCGTACACTTCTCAGTCTTTGCAGGAGTTGATGCTGGCTAAGTTTCACAGTAGTTGCGTCATGCTGTGCCGCAAATGTAGCTTATGTCAGGCAAGTCTAACTTGGTAGTCTCCATGCCAGGCTGCTCCTCGCAGTGCTTTAGCAAAAGTTACTCAGAGGTCTTCGCACCCAAGCTGGACAGAGCAGCACGTCCCACCATTGTTGCAGCGATTGAAGAGAATGTCCTCATCACACACTTCGCTCTCTTGCTTGCCGAGTCCCGGGAAAGATGATAGGGGCCATCATAACGAGATCTTAGTGTGTGGTAACGTTCATTGTAGCAACGATGCGATTGTGTCGTCGAGCTGCGAGTCTAAGGTTGGCACACACCCATCGTTTGCGTTTTTTTAAATTTTGCCTTGAGATAATTTTGAGGGTATCAACCTTGAGTTTACATGTTCACATCGCTTTTCAGATTTACTTTGTAGGTGATGTCTGCCAAGTCTGACCTCTTCAATCATATGTTTTCTCAGGACGATGGACACAAAGGACCAAAAACAAGAGTGCCCACCCCAGCAAGGCCAAGTAGTTTGTTAAAATCAGCCCAGAATGGCTTTTTTAAAGGAGGCTGTTTGGAAGGGACAATGCGGTCTCTTTCTTTGAATTCAGATAAAGAGCCCTCTTGTTCCACACAATCTAGTAAAAGTACACGAGGTTATCCTTACAACACAAGGTCTCTTAGCACACCAAAGCAACATCATGCTTCCTCTGCAACCGTAGGGACGGGTTCAGATGGACTTGGGATTTTGAGAAATGTAGGAGGTGTAGCTCCAAGCAATCAAGCTAGTGGTAGTGTATTTGTTCAGCGGATAGTAAATTCCGCAGGGCAGCCGAGGAAAGTGGTGCTCCCTGTTGTTGAAGAGATTCCTGGATCAGGAACAGGGCAACAAGAACGGAAGAAAAGGGAAAGTTCCCCATCTAGGAGATTTTCGTCTCCAGGACGAGTCAGTGTCAGTCAAGGCAGTCAAGGAAATTAATACCTCTGCCCAATTGTTGGACACAGGAGGAGCTAATGCTATTTACTATGCGTGTTTGATGATTGTGGAATGTTTTTGGGAACTGTGAATCCCGCAGACCCGATTTTGCTCGAAGGATGGCTATTGGGTGACAGCTTGTGTGTAAAACCAACGTCTTAAATTTTGTCCTCGAAGCAAGATTTGTTTCCTGGCTAGGACAGTGGGTTTCATCTCGGAGTGAGCTTGTCATTCTGGAGAACCTCGTCAGCTGTGCCTGCGGTTGATCGCTGTGGCTACTGGAGAAGACCTCGTTATTCTAGTACTGCCTGGTAGACGGAAGCGCCTCCACGAAATCGCTGCCGACACTCAACCGATCAATATGACCATAGTAAAGAAATTATCGGCATTAATATTGAAAGTATCCTGGGCGTCGTGGAAAAGCACGTCCAGAAAGAGAAACAAATGAAAATGCACTATAGTATACAGTATACTTGACTGAGACTCGTATCCGTGTAGCATTGCATTTCAAGACACCTGATGATAAATGAACTGTCACGGTATCCATCTAACAGGCCTGAAGGGTTCTGTGTCAGGTAAAGTTCCTGTCCCTTTGGCATATGTCGTAAACTCAGAGGACTGTCATCGATGTCTTGCCCTTTGATATCTTCTGGCGCAGTACCTGGGTACTAGCTTCATGGCGACAATCCTGTTAAGGTCCCTGTCTCCTGTTGCTAATGCCCTCGTCCCAAAAGGAATGTACCCGATGTGAACCGCAGATCTTATTAGAAGTACTCAGCGTAGCGATTCAGATCTGTACGGCGTTTGTCCATTTTTGCTATGTATGGTACCGAGTACAGGAGAGTTGAGCTCGACCTGCCGGGTCTACTCGGGTCCATCCGAGATCCGTGGTACTTGTAAACCACGTACGATAGTATAGTCCAGTACTGTGATAGATGTGATGTTTCTCGCCTTTGCTTAACTACAGTTATTGGAGTGGTCCACTTTAATGTCTCCACTCGACTAGTGAGGATGACAATCCTTTGCAAATCCAACACCCACACTTGCCAACATTTACTTGACTATGCTTTGTTACACTGCCATTGCTTTTATGCTAGACTAGTGTTATTAATATGTTTAGCAACTTACATATATCTGGGCTAATTATGATATCGATTTTAAAACTTCTATGCTTTTAAACAAAGAAGACAAAATATTATTCTGGAAAAGATTCCAGTATTGTCACGTATGAATTGAATGACATCAAAATATTTTTTCATGTTGTTATCAAAAAATATGATGATCATATTTGAAGATGTATGATTTGTTTGTAGCTTTCAAATAAATTATAACGTACAAAACACATGTTATTTTTTAGAATGTGGTACACTCAATATTTTTTTACGAGTATATGTATGTATCAACTGTTGAAAAAATAATTAACCACATCATAATTTTTATAAGTTTGAAAACATGTATTTTCAGTATCTAATTATAAATATAAATACGTCTTTGAGATGATATAATATAATGATCTAAATTATTGATGAGCATTCTTATGTGCATTTAATTCCAAATAAATAAATATTTGAGCAAGTTTAAAATTTTATTTTCAAAAAAGTAATGATTCCTTTCTGGCTTAAGTATCGGATACGGTTTTTTTTTTTTCATTATTGTAAATATATACATATCGTGAAAAGCAAATAAATGATCTCATGTAGAGTGAAAAATATTTTTTTGTATTAACTCAAATCTTGTATTAAACTCTAGTTAGCATACTTCGAATTAGATTTAGATTTAGGCTTGATCCTAATTGGGATTAGAATTTGCGATTCTGCTATTCACAATTTAACAGATTGTGAACCACAACTTGCACTTAACACTTCGTAAATTTTCAGAAAAGATCTTGTTGCTACCGTGGATATAGTATGAGAGTGGAGAACTAGATAATTTTTTGTAGGCGTCACAATCAAATTTTTTCGTATTTTCTTGTACGTGCTTCTGTATTTTTGTGAATTATACTCATATTGATTCTACAATTGATATGGGAGCAAAGACAAGGCGATCATTAGAGTATCATAGTGGCAAACAAGCAGACAGCAGACAAGAAATGTATTTGGCCTTAGCAACTTGCTACGGTGGCGTGCACATCTGGCAGTGTACTGAAGATAAAGAACAAAATGTAGAGATTATTTATTAAAGGAGTTGCTTGCATTGATTCATGACGTTGATCAAACTAGCTTGTAGATTGTAGTGCACATATAAGATGTACTTGATGTAGAGGGTTTGTAGATTCAAACAGAGAAATTTTGAGAATGGAATTGGCGTAATGATGGTTGATTTTTGGAGCAGAGTGAGGTCGCATCCTTTAACGCATCGATTTTTTTTCATTCATTTTTTTAGTCCTATAACCAACACCAGTCAATCCTTCGAGATACAATTTTGATGAAACTTGTTGAGTTGTAACTCATGTTGACTGTTTGTTAGTATCTTGACTATGTAGCTAAAGGCAACGAGATCCAGTTCGCCCTTTTGAACATTGACAATAAAGACTTGTATTCTCGTGGACGTAGCCGAATGACGAACCACGTTACTTTTTGTGTGTTATCTCGTGCTTCTGTGATTCCATGTTAGTTTGATCTAATAATTGATATCAAAGCAAATTTTTACGGTTGGCTAGTTGATGTCATATCTATGTTTTAGATTCTACTCTAAAGTTTTTGTTTGAATCACATTGCTGGTTTGCTTATTCGTTTGCTTGCATGCTTGATGGAGCAAAGCCTCAAGCCTGCACATCGTAATTTATTTATGCGCGTCAATTGCTTTTGCATCTCACGACAAGTTGTAGCGTTTCCGTAAAATCTGATATGTCAAAAGCGTAGGAAGTCATGATGACCTTAATTTATGCTTTGACGTGTATTTTATTTTTTTCATTCCAACAGTACAAACTATAACTTTAGGCACTTGAAAAAACAAGATGACGACCATTAAGTCTGAAGGAGCAAGATACGACCTAGTTAAGTACGAAAGATATAATGATTACCTACTCCTTTGAGTATTTGACATAACAATATGGTGGCCACTAAGTCTGAAGTATAAAGATATGACATAGTCAAATAAAACAAACATGATGATTGTCTACTCTGCGAAAAAAGTGAAGAAAAACTGAAGATTATGGATCTTGACATGACGTTGAGGTCAAAATTATATATCCACAGGAATAACGATTGAAGATAACTCCATGAACGGCCTCCGAGTATTCTCATTTATAAGATTTAATTCTGAAAAAAATGAATGAGTATGATAAATTTACTAGACTATTTGAATCTCTTGAGTAACAATTTCATAGCAAAGAATTGTCAAAAAGTTTGTATGTCTCCTTGAAGTTGATGAGCTTCAAGATGAAAGATTCTTGCACAAAGATCCAAAATCACATTAATTTCTTTGATGATTTTTTTATTAATTTCTAAATCTTAGAAGAGGAAATAACCAAGGAGGGAAAAGTTTTTCATCTATTGAATTCATGGTCTGCAATTTTATTAATCAATGTCACGTGTGTTTTTCAATTGTGATAGTCAAACAATCACTTATAAGAACGTTCTAAATGTTTTCTTGACTAATAACTTACAGCAAAAAATGATGTTGTGATCTATTATTTTCTTTTGTTTGATACGGCATTAAATGTGATTCAAGGTCAATCATATTCACAAAATTACAAAAATGTTAAACATTTTGGATCTAAAGATAAATTCAATTTAATTAAAAAAATAAATTACTTTAAAAAAATGCTAGTGTATTGAAAAATATGGCAAGAATGATCACATCAAGAAAAAAAATTTGTGTGAAGAACATATGTATTGTGACATTTAGTAACATCATGTTTGACTTTCATTTAGGGGTTGATGGATTTTTTCACAAATATAATCTGATTCACGAATTCTCACTTAAGTTTACCTTAAATGTTTTTTTTAGTAGCTCATCATGATTCTTGAAGACAAGGATTTTTTTACATCTACGTGTTTCAAACAATCTTTCGCTCATCACTTTATTTCAAACATTCATTGACATTTCAAGATGATTGTGTAATTCATGATTCTCAAGTTTTTCCCACGATGAACTTCTAAGCTTGCTTAATGGCCTATTCTTTAGCTCTCTATTTATAGTAATTAAAAAATTATCATAGTAATATATGATTTAGTAACATATAATAAGTGACTTTTATTTACATAATTTTTGGTAGTTTGATTAGTTTTCATTATGTGTCAACATATCATTGATCTACCTAAATCTTTTAAAAGGTTCCTTGTTTCTAGTTTGAGATGGCTATATGACATTTGAGAATTTTAAGCTTGTAGAATTTCCATTTGCCACTAAATCAATTTTGTACTAACTCTAATCAATGAATCTTTCATTACTTATTCAAACTAATCATTAAATCAACTTTGGGCTTGATCTGATCAAAGAAAATTTCATTATTTAGTCACACCAATCACTAAATCAACTTTGAGCTTAATCTGATCAATGAAAATTTCATTATTTAGTCAAATCAATCACTAAATCAACTTCGCGCTTGATCTGATCAATGAAAATTTCATTATTTAGTGAAACCAATCACTAAATCAACTTTGGGCTTGATCTGATAAATGAAAATTTCATTATTTAGTGAAACCAATCACTAAATCAACTTTGGGCTTGATCTGATAAATGAAAATTTCATTATTCAATGAAACCAATCACTAAATCAACTTTGGGCTTGATCTGATCAATGAAAATTTCATTATTTAGTGAAACCAATCACTAAATCAACTTTGGGCTTGATCCGATCAATAAATATTTCATTATTTAGTCAAAACAATCACTAAATCAACTTTGGATTTGATTCAACTAATGAAAATTTTATAACTTAATCAAACCAATCAAAACTAAAATGTAGTTAAATTTTTTAAGCTTTGGTATTTAATTAAAGATTCGTAACTTTGAAATCTAAATTTTGATAGAAGACAAAATATTAGTGCTCACTCAAATTTTTAAAAAATTTTCTAATAAATTTGCCAAGTTTACATCATAGCTAAATTTAATCATAACTAAACTAACCATGATCAACTCTATAACTAAT